AAATAAAAAAAAAAAAAAAAAAAAAAAACCAAAAAACAAAACACAAAACACCAAACCAAAAAACCCACTTCACAATTATGAACATTCAAAACTGAGGAAAATTTCAATAATGTTATTACCGTCCAGGTCGCCGAAGATCTCTGATTTCTATGCTTAAAAAAGGCAGAAATAAATTGCCACAGAACGGACATGTGGTATTGAGATTTGAATCATCTGCCGTCCAACCTGCCATGATTTCTTCATCATGAACCAAACAGTCACAAGTTCGACATCGTGAACAGCTTGAGATGAGGACCTGCACACAGCAGATAACAGAACTCCACTATTAATCCTTCTCAAAACTACTCTTTTACAAAGCAGTTAAAACTATAGCCAAAACCTGTGCCCTTAGATGAATACTGTATACAAAGTTCAGCCCCATACCTGTTCTCAGGCTTTAGGTTGGAATACCTGTGTTTAAACTTGTGTATTTCACAACTATTAAATTTTAAATCCAAACTGCATTAACTGACAGCCAATATGGTAAATGACTGCAATGCACATTGTCTGAAAAATTTATTAAATACAGGCCTTTATTCTATCGTAGTAGCTAGACTGGGATCTAGAACTGTGCTCGTAAAATAAATATATTTTAGCTAAGTGGGTTAAGTGATCCTTTTATGTCTTCCCAGAGTAAAACCAGCCAGTTATTCAATAATATTTTTATTAACAATAACTTGTAATTTGTAATGTGTTTGCAAACATAATAGTACAGGAATATTTATGCAGCTACATAAATTATTCTTACTCTTCTGTCTTACTACCAGTATAATAGAAATGAGAGAGAAAAACAAAAAAGATGAAGTGACCAGTCATTAATCCAAAACCACTGAAACAAAAAAAAAAGAAAAAAGAGCCACCCAAAACCAGTGTAACAGTGAAAAGCAAAATGATCTTACTAGAAGCTACAACAAGAAATAGCTAGTTATCTATTCATATCTATTCATTTTTAAATGTAGAGTGTTATTTGAGACTTGGTATTTTCACTTTAAACAAATTTAGTTGCGCAAGGGATTTAGATACCTGAATTCCATGGCATCCAGTTCTCAAACTCTTGAGAACTGCAGCTTTAAGGACCAAAAGATGTGACTGGAATAAAGACATTTTTAGACTAGGTTTTGAAATGAAACCTACCCTGTCACAGAAATATTTATCCATCTTTCAGTGAATTAGTTTTAAGCTTTGAACTTTAACAGAGATTCACACAGCATTTATATTTAAAGAGATATACTTTTAGCCTACCAATTAAAATCAATAAATCATCCTGTACCTCCATAGCGTAGTTCTGAAACACGCTGGTACTACTTGTACTGCAGGAAGATATCAACTCTGATTTGTCAGGTAAAGGGAACTTTGAAAGAGAACCTATTAACAGAAGAAACCCAAAGTATTAGTTATTCGGAACATGCATTTTTAGTAAACTGTTTTTCTGGTCAAACAGTACTGCAGTTACAAAATGTGTCATGGGAAATGCAACAAATCAGATATACTCAGAAAGAAATGTGAAGCTGGAGTGTGAGGCTGCCATCTGCCCAGCACCAACAATGGCAAAAATAAAATCTACCAACATAGAATTTCCATATGTTCAATTTTCTTCTTCTACAACAGCTGGTAGCTTGGAAAGAAATTTTACAGATTAAGTAATTCATACCCACACTTTGTCTGGACAAAAACTAGGGAAGGATAAGAGATGCTGCTTGTGACTGCAGATATCCCTGACCCTTCTCTTTGCCACACTAAATGAGCCAGGCTCCCTGATAACCAGCTTCAACAGTGGTTTATAGAAAATAATTTTTCCAATAAGGATTTTTACTCCGCTTAGAAAACAAAATCAGACTAATAAAGTTACCATTTGAAAGTTTTTATAGATGTTTTCTGGAGCTGTACAGCTTACACAAATAAGATTATTACATGAATACTGACGGGCCCAAAGGGTCCCTTATTTGCACAGCTGTAGCACCCAGAAACTTTTCAAGGACAGGATGTTACTGTACAAGTTATTCCACAAGAAAGAACACCCAAAACAAGGTTTTGCAATAAAAATATGCCTACATATGGACATATCTGTATGAGTAATAGTTTGCAGACAGGAAAAGAAAAATTTATTTCTTCCACAAAAGGGACTAACAACTAGGATGATCTCAAACTGAGAATATAAAAGAACAACTTCTAAAACTGGAATATTTTTGTTCCGATTGATGAATGCAATGCAAAAACTGTGTCTCACCACACTGGTCAAATTGTTTTGATGAACCATCGTGGGAAGCTGAGCTTTCTAGGCTTGTCCTGCTGAGCCCAATTCTCTTTATTTCTGATGGGGCATTCTCCTGAGGAGAAGCACTTTCAAAATCATTGCAGACATCTTCATCAGTTAGAGAAGTAGATTCTGAGTCCAGAGCTCCAAGAGATGAAACACTTGCTCGGTCTGAATTTTGATCCTGAGAAAAGAAAATAAATTCCACTGAGAAAAGGAAAGCAAAAATAGTTCTGGAAACAAGAGGCAGCCTTCTTTGTCTCAGTAAATTCAAGGCATGAACTTTCCTCTTTAACAAGTTACTCAGCTCAGACCTGCATTCAGAACAAATGTGAAACACGGGGAGTTTCACTCAGGGTTAAATAGCTACACGAGGACTCTTTTTAAGAGATTCTCTGAACAAAAAGATCTAAATGAAAACTTAAACATTTTAATCTGATAACTTTTCCCCATCATTGCTACAGAAGTTACTAGCAGCCCTAGGAATGCAGTAGGATGGGTAAGACATCTTTGATACCTTAGTTAATTAGTCTCAGATTGCTTTTAAGCACATTAAGACAATACATCAGCAGCAAACCATGACTACTTTCATTCCCAAGGACTGGGAATAAAATGAGTTTGGGTTTGAGCTGGTAGCAGCAAAGAACTTTCTAACCAGCTGACCTCAGTTCCCAATGAGCCTTAAATCACTTTGGTAATCAATACAAGCAGATTTCCCTTTTTTTCATAAAAGCTGAAGAGAATTAAAAACATTATTGTTTAAGTATTTTTTTCTTTAGGTAAATAAGGGAAGGCAGAGCAGTCTTCTCTGCCCTGTCAACACACCAAGGAATACTTGGGTCTTCACAGTAAATATACTCTGAACCCATGCCGGAGCAAAATTTTGTTTGGTTCTGGACAATAAAATTAGGTCCTGGAAATTCAAACATGATTAAAACAACTTAATGCACATAGTCTGCCACGGTGCATGTCATTCAAATGGGGGATTCATCACACAGGAGTCAGTGATTAAACCTTCACAAAGATTTTTCCTTAATTTATAAGAACTTTATGGGGGAAAAACCAATAATTATGAACATTTACCTTTGAGGATGCAGCATACATTGCAAATTTTGAGTACCACTTGCTAGCTTTCTCTGCAACCCCTTTTCCAGCAGAAAACATGCTGCTTTTCAGAACATCCAGCTTAGGTGTCAACAGCGTATCCAAGTTGAATGATGGTGAAGACACAAGTGTCAATGCACCAGTTGCATCCTGCGGCTGTTCCTTTGCTGGACTGTTTGGGGAATAAGCTGGGGAGGACCAAAGCCTGTCTCTTGGCCTTTCTTCGTTTTTTGCCTGATAACTCTTGGATTTGGTAAGACTGGATGGCCTTGGGGAGTTCGGGGGAAGGCTGGACCTCCTACAAGGCTGGTTTACAGTTGGGCTCTTTTTATTAGCATTTCTGTCATCATAGGGTTTTTGCAACTCCATGCTTGGGGCACGACTTGACAAAGGACTGCTCATGTTGTTCATGTACATGACTATTTCCTCAGCTAAATCTCGCCTTGCAGATGGAGTAGAAACACTTTGATCATCATCCTCCTCTTCATCCTCTTTCTGCTGTTCTGTCTCAGCAACCAACAGGGACAGTGGATCGAATCCAGTTTCAACATCTGTCTTTTCAATTGGTTTTACTGCAAAGCTGCTCTTTCTTTGCAGCCTTCTAGATTTTTCACTGGAGGATTTCACTGCTGTAGATGTTTCAGGTTCTGCATCCAAGTCTTCCAAATCAAAGATAACAGGAGATTCTGTTTTATCTGTAAAACTGCAATCAAAAGCCGCATCTTCATCACTAGATTCTTTCTCCAGGCTTTCTCTCTTAGATCCTAAAGAGGAAGTTCTGATATTAAGAGTTTTTGGCCTTATGCTTTTCTGTAATGCACTAGATAGGATTTTGGCATCAGCTCCTAGTTTTTCAACTATTTCACCAGGATTTGCTTCCTGATTTATTCTATTCATCATGAGTCCCACTAAGCCATCTCCACTCAGGTTACGGTTCCTGCTTTCCCATGGTATCTCCCTCAAGTCAGGTTCTACTGCACTTTTACGTCGCTTTCTTAAGGATTTACTTTTTATAACTTCTGCTTCACTGACATCCTCAAAAGATGATGTAAACAGCAATCCTACAGAACTCTCTGAAAAACAGATGAAACAAGGTGCTTTATTTCTTGCTATGCAAGAAACAGATGAAACAAAATCATAACAGAATACAAATTTGCCTCATCTTTCAAACAGTTTTCAACACAGAGGTAGAATTCACTATGTATTGTGTGTTGAACATGGTTGTAACTTTTAGGAAGGGTCAGACTATATATAAATATATATAGACAAAACTGCACAAAGATCAAAATCTATTTTCTCTTCCACTCACCAGTGCTAGCTTCTGCTACAGTATTGTCAACTGTACCGTTGAGCCGCACTATGCTAGAAGTGGCTTTGGCATTAGCTGAGTTCTGGTAATTCAGTTTAGGTAGGCAGTCACCACTCCCTTTTGTGCTCTCCACCTCAGACACTGGATATAGAAAAGAACAGACAGTTCTTTAGAATCAAAGCAACTTAAAGGCTCAAGTTTCCATTTCCTATGAGATGCTTTATGCAGGATTAAGTGACAGCACGTTGTATGTATCTCCCATGATGCATAGGCTGATATCTACTTGGGCAGAGGCTTTCACAGCAAATCCAAAGCCCTTCTCATTTGTGATGCATCTCCTAAGTTTTGAGAATTACGAGGAGCTGAGTAATTGAGACCTTCAAAAATTCAACTGTTCTCTTCTTATGGGAAATATAAAGAAAACAGACTGGTAGAAAAGGCTTTCCTGTAGATTATGCCTATAAAGCATTTTAATTTTTTTAAGAGACAAAAACATTAAGCTGTAGTTATCATTAAGCCTTTACATTACCACTATCACTTATCTGAAATACAGGAGGAGGGAAAAAAGAACTCTAATTTTCAAAGTCAAAGCATTAGACATCCAGAAAATTACATTTAGAGAAAGTAACTTTGGGCATGGGCATAAACTGGCATTATCACATACACTCATTGTAAAAAAAATGAGCTGCCCCATTTAGCTTTTGCCAAAATCCCTATTTACCCACAATGAACTAGAGATAACTGTATTCACAAGATACATACGAGAACTGGAGTCACTCTCTCTCGTGTCCTCTTTTTGTTCTTGTATATCTTGAAGACAAGTTTTCCCTTGCCTGGTTTCTTCTTTGAATGATGTGTTACTGCCAGAGTCTGAAAGTCCCCCTATCACAACAGGGGGACAGAGTAAAGATGATTATGGTATTTAATAGCGTGACATTGTTAAACAGAATAAATTGAATATCCACAGAAATTCAAAGGCCTCTTATCAAGTACATTCCAATTAACAGTGAACATTTTACCACAAAAAAAAGTACGAAAAATTATTGGCTTACTTCCACATGATAAATAATGAAGTAATGCTCAACAGAATTAAAGGGCTCATTTGCAACATATCTTTCAGTCAACTACAACTAAACTATGTATATTGCTGATACTTCAGAATGTACTATCTTGCTTTAGTAGTAACTTATAAATACCTAAGAAAAATACCATTTTCATGATTACCTGGAGTTTGCAAAACTGCTATTTAAACATAATGTAAATCTTTACTAGAAAGAAAAACAAAATGTACAACCTCAAACACTGCACTTATACGTAGATAAAATAAATATGATAATTTCAGTTGTTACACAGAACCTGCAAACAGTACTCCAAACTCAAGCACTACTTCTAGTTGCCTTTCAACTGACATCAAAAAAGGGGGGAAACAAAAAGAAAAGGCAAGGCTAGACAGAAGTTTCTGCCAGTTATAAGATTTGACATTCTATAAGCTAGGATAATTATCACACGGATTTCAGGTTCAAATTTTGTCTCCATAAAGAGCTGACATAAAAAATAAAGAGCAGACTATGTGGGATTCAAATTAAAAAAAAAGGTTTTTTTAAAAATTATGCAAAAAGGTGTTTTTTTCCCTCCCCCCTTTAAAACAGTTTTACCAAATTCACAACAGAAAGCTATTTGAAATAATTTTCTTATCAGTGTGCAAATAAAAGAGGACGTGAATACTCTACCAGGAAGAGCTGTATGTGATGTGCTTGCTGGTAGTTTTTTCAATGCCTTTTTAAACTGTGCTATTCCTAAAACAACGTTTCTTATTTTCATCCATAGGAAATAGCCACCTCGATTGCTTGAAGGCCAGGTACTTTCCAAGACAGCCTATTTTGGAAATACCAAAGCCAAATAAAGTCATCCTAAGGAACAGTCAGGTGTGAAATCATTAATTTAATTTCAAATTAGGTTACATTGGCAGTTATAAAGTAGACTTCTAAACCTACAAAACCAAAGGCAACAATTATTCTGTCTTGTATTTCTTCCAGCTACTAGAAATGACAAAATTACATCTGAACTGCTCCCTTATTTTGCTTGCTTCTATTTGCCTGGATATTTTTTTTTCCTCCTCTTTCAAAAATACTTACCTTATTGTAGTAGCCATAAGTAATAGCATTAGGATCAACACCAGCTTTCTGCATTTCAAAAAGCACTCTCACTGCTAGCACAGGCTGACCATATTGTCCACACAGTTGCATGAGTACTCGGTAGCACACCTGAAAACACACACTGTTAGTATTGTGTTTCTATAGCCAAACACATACGCCAGTCAATAAAACTCAGGGGCTACTTCTGGAGTTTTGGGGTTGACTTATTTTACCTCATCAGGTGGATCTATTTTTTTGGTATGCATTTTTTGTAGCACATCATACGCAGTTCTCAGAGCCCTGACTTTCGAGTGGCACACTTTCACATATGCAGGAAGGCAGATAAACCAAAGACCATAGCAGTGACGTAACAAACACCTGGACCACATCTGGGGTATGGATGAGTACTTCTTAGCAATTTTATGTGCGGATTTAATTTCCTGTAAAGAATCATAAAGATTATTTATGTATATTTACACACACATTACACAAACCTACATGTTAAAAACCGAACATGTATTGTCATACCTACAGAAACCACAACATAAATATGAACAACATATTCAATAAAGTGCAAAAAAAAATTAAAGCAGAGTGATACAAAAAACAGTTGCTGTGCAACATTCCCCTCCTAAAACTTGTATTTCTTTAAATTTATGTCTATTATTTTTGGTCTGCATTTTTTGTAAGAAACATTTGAAAGTCAGAGCCCCTCTTAAAGCCCCGTACAGTGAAAAGCAACCAAAAAGTGGATGTGGAAGTCCAGCAGTTTATGCTCATGGAGAACAGCGTGAAGAATGCGGGAGGTATAGGGACAGCACAGCAAATGACAGTCTATATGCAGGGGCCTTGTACAACACAGCGTAGGCAAGAAGCACAGGTAATCATCCAAAGAACAATTAGCATAGCTACCCTATCGTCATCTTATCAGTGAAGAACCATTAATCAGGCTGCAGCCACTGCCAGTCTTTATAGCCGAGGCAGCAAGCTGTCACTTTCCAAAGCACCTAACACTACCAGGACACCTGCAAGTACCTGTTTAGTTCTTCTGAACATTGGCGATGGACTGTTGGGACTACTGGCTTTTGAGGACAGTTTGTTATTTGGTGCCTTGAGAAATCCTTCAGGTCGCTCAAACAAATCTAGTTTTAATACTGGAAATCCATTATAGCTGTAAAATAAATGTGTTGCTGTGTAAGGCAGTTCCAAAGTAAACACATCACATAGTAGCAAATGAAATCAATTACACAGTTGCACTAAAAGCTGCACAGGAAATACAAGACACAAAAGTAAACCTTTAAAGACACTGTTGACAAAGCAGTTTACTAATCCATCTGCATGATTTCATAAGCCTGCACAGTCTCTTAACCTGTTATTTCAGTGTAAGCAACTTAAATGGATAATACATTTCCTTTTAAAATTATGTGTCAAATGCATTAGTATTGATTCCAGTTAATTAAAAAAACATCTGTGTGGTTTAGTCCCTAGTGAACATCACATGACAGAGGTTTATAAAAATCAATATGAACAATATCAAACTATCTAAAAGATTAAATTAGATTAAGATTTAAAAATGTTTCTCAGAATTAATGAAGAAACCAATAGACAAACTGATTTGACATAATTACTAAATTAGCAACACCAGTTTTCAGTGATTCTTTGAAATGTACTCTCCCTTTCCAAAGAGTATCTGCAGTTTGTATTGTTAGCAGTAGCAGCAGCAGACTGGGTCCATTAATTTCAATTTTAACCACAAAAAGCGTCAACAGCTAACACAATGTGATGTGAACACATGGTCAGCTTTATTGATTATTATTGCTTCTGTGTGTACACACACACAAAATCACTAAAACTTCAAAAGAGCTGGCACGCTAGGCATTTTACATACGCATTTTGACTTGAGTAACATAAAGGGACAGGAAAAATCCATGCTTTGTGGCTATTACAAGAACCTAGAAACTAAACCACACAAGGGCAACTGTTAGGATTTTGGCTAGCATCCTACTGTGTCCTGAGGTCACCTGTATTGTAGAGGGTGCTCTTCACCGTTTGGCAGATGAGGGATCTCAGGTGGTGTTATGAAAACTGTATGTTCACTCTTGTATGACTCATCCAGCTCTATAAGTCGTGTTTCCCCAGTTTTGTCCATATCTACCTGGAGAAGGTATGTTAAAAGAAAATGCAGTTACCAGTGTCACTGTATTTTCTGCCATTCAAGCTATAGGGTCCAGCAGGACCAGAAAAGAATTCCATGCCATTGCTTGAGACTAAAAGAACCTAAGCAAAACTCAGCCACCCCAAGCAAGATTTTGGGAATTTCCCTTTGAGAAAAAGGACAGACAAGCCTTTAACAATATTACAAGCTTCCTACTGATACTGTTCACGTTACAGAAACCACCAGGAACAGAGCAAATATAATGTGTATTACTGTCCACCTGAGAGCCTGTACTTGACATCTGTATTGTACTGCTTTGTCTTTGATCTGCTGTCAGCAACTGTCTCCTCCAATACCTCATAAGCGCTGCTTCTGCTTGTGGCATGAGACATGTGTCCATCTCAAAGAGTTGGCACTATCAACAATTATTTCTTTCCTGGTGCACAGAACATGCTTTTTATTCACATACTGACAGCCCCAGTGTTCAGCTCCAACGCTGTCACAGTTTACATTTACAGCCATCAGTTAAATGGTTTAAATGGAAACCCAATTACAGCTAAGTGGTACATTATTTCAAAGAAATGAATAAGCAACCTGTGGAACCCAAGGATGCATGTTTTTCATGCCTTAAGAGTTTAGCAACGGAGAATTAATGTACAAAAAGAATCACCTTCCACACTTTATTCCCTCTGGTGAGGTGGAAATATATCAAGTAGTTTCATCAGAATTCTTGAATATTTAAAATTTGATAAACATACAAAGAGGTGTTCTTAATTACACATTTTACTGCATGAGACAGATGGAAAGTATTAGCAAATCTAACCAGCCAAGTAGCAAGAACATATGGCTCCTGCAAAGTAGAAATAAACGAAACCTTACTTGGCAATTTAAATACTTTTAAGGATGTAAACCCCCCACTGTTACAAGTTTCACCAGTGAAACAGAACAAAGCCAGTGGCTTAAATATGCATTGACTTGAGATAATTTTTTAATTCCTGGAAAAATGAAAACTTGTGAGACAATTACACCGGGTCTTTCCAAATGGGTAAATCAACTACAATCTCTGCTGCTGCTGTCTAGGATAAAATAACATGTAGAAGAGATTACTCTTCATCTTAAACTATTCTTACAAATTATTTGAGGCAGAGCTGAGATTATATTTTGTAGATAACTAATTTCACAGTACATAAAATTTGTCTCAATCCACTGGTTTGTAACTACCAGTAAGAAAGTACTGTATCACCTTTCAACCCATGACACCACTCTTTCATGCACCCTTTCAGGTACTGGTTCACCATAATAAATCTTGGTTACTTTAAGAAACCCATAGATTTCATAACCATCAATATTTGATAACAACGTCATTAGAAAATATTCTTACCCATGAGAAGAGTATCAATCAAGCATTGTATTAAAAATATTTACATCAGCAAGCTGGTTTTGGATTGGGGGAAGCAAGTGACAGCAGTAAGAATGAAAGGAGAACTGATAAAGATTCATTTGAATGTATATGAAGACATGCTTACTTTATCTACGCAGTCATCAAAAAACGCAAGGCTTGCATCCTTATCGCTGACAAAAGAACACTCTTCAATGAAGCGAATAAACATTTGAGTTTTGGTCATCAGTGTGTAGAACTTCTGATGTGAACGATCTCGACTTTTGAGGAAACCTATAAAGTGAAATCAGAAGGATGTAAAAAAGTCTAAAACAAAAAAAGCTTTCACCAAAAGTCAGCATATGTTCTACTGCTGAGCAATAACCTTTTTGTAATCTTTGCCACTACTATGCAATTTCTTCTGCACTTACATCTCTACCACATCATTTGCAACAGTAACACTGCAAATGTTTTTATTCTTTAAATAAGAGAGAATCTAAAATAATAAATTAATATTCATAAAACAAGTTTATGACTCTTCACCTTGTAGTTCAAAGAGAGAACTTGCATCTGTGGCAGTTTCAGAGGGTGCCTCTGTTATTGGCCTGAGATAAGACCTGTAACCTTTTAGTATCGAGGCCATGAAACACAGGAATGCTTCCTGGATCTCCAAGTCTAAAAGGTGCAATTTCTTCCCAGAATTAAAATCATAGTCATTCATTGCTAATTCCATTAATGCATCTTCTCTTGGTCTCTGTTGCACTGTGAACAAAAACAACATTACAACATTTTACATTATCTTTTTTAAAAAAAATCTCTTTATCCTACTAGATTCACTCATTACTGAGCTCCATTAAATTTGGAACAGATTAAAATCTATGCAGTTAAATTCAGTCATGACCTGCAACAACAGATTCAACTTGACCTGATACAACTCGTGTATCTCCGGATAACACAAAAAGTAAGATACATTTACCACTTAAGTTACTACAGCAACAGAGAGAGCCAGTATGGACAGAGCTTTAAAAAACCCTCAAAGCTGTTTGTAAAAATACGTGAAAATTTATACACAAGCTGATTAAAGCAGTGTATTTTAGCACAAACACATAGCTGGGATGTATTATTATTATTTTTTTTTTACAGTGCCCTTCATTTCGAAGTGTTTCCAAAAAAGCAGACTATACATATTAAGTACCTATATACACAGAAAAACACCACTCAGATGCAAAGTGGAGCCATCAAAACGCAACACAATGCACAATGCTGATACAGAAAGAAAGCAGGCATTATTTTAAAAGATCTAGCAAAATCCCAGTTCTTAAAATAGATACCTGCATCAACATTTTAGAGCCATCAGAACTCTTCCCTAAAGACTTCACTGCTACACACAGAGTATGGCAGCATTCTAACAGTGTCTCAAAAAAGTGAAAGGACGGTTTCATTACTGTCATTCCACGTGATATAATTATAGCCAACCTTATATGGATATAATGTTTAAGCAATTTACTCTGTAATCAGAATTTAAGATCAGTATCACTATTTTTATATAGAGAACATAAGGTTTAAAAAATTTTCTAAAGAAATCCTCACAGTAAAATATATCAAAATTTTGAAGCAACAGACAATTTTCATCACCTATCAGCTATCCACATTTTTGTGCGCAGCACCCAGCAATAAACCATTTCTGTACATTCTAATTGGGACACAGTTAAACAATAGCCAAAAAGGTGTAAACAGGCTTAAAAAAAAAAAAAGCCCTAAATCCAAGTGACAATTACAAACACCTCGTACAATACGCTTTCCAGGTATGTATCTCTCAAACACTCAGTGTTGATCAACCCCATTCATACTCTGATTAGTCTTAACCACTTGCTGTCTCTGTCACAGCAACTTGATTTTACAGTTGCATTATTGCTCCTTCAGACTCCCTCCAACACCTATAGAAATCACCTTCAGGTGACAGCTAATGTCAGAGTGCTGATGGACTTCCTGCCCCCTTCACAAAGCCTATGACACCCAAGCACATCAGCTGGCCTTAACTACATTGATACTTCCAAATGTTTTGTTTTAAAGAATTTCACTAACAGCATCCCTATCCGTTTTTCTGCTTTCTCACATCAAGGTTCAATCTACCTTGCTCTGCAGTATTTGAGGATTCTACCAACAACCAGTTTTTTCTTAGAAATATCCAGTAACCGTGCTATACATTTAAAACCACAATGTTTATAAACCATTTGTTATTTCCATCTTAAAATTGTAGGTAAAGTACTACCAGCTTGAGTGGCAAAGTTATCTCAATTGTCAAGACACCAGCAGACTTAAGCAGGCTTTGAGGACAAAACAAAATTCTTTTTAAGTCCTGGTCTACTCTTTGCTTTACTATTCCCTTCTCAAAAAACTCTGCTTTTTTTTTGCTGCAAGGATAACATCAATTAAAAAAAAAATCTATTGAGCACTGCCTTATGGATACTCCACCCCAAAAGCCCCTATATGCAAGTTCTGATCTCTGGACTTAAAGCACAGATTTTCCTGTCCCGTACAAAAACATTATGTTTAGTGTAACAGGTGACTTAAGAACATATTTCATTAGCTATATTTATCTGCTAATGTGGCACACTATATCCAATGTAAATCTTACGATGTATTTTCCCACTCACATTCTGCCAGTTGCTGATATAAATTACTTAAAGTGTTCATCAGATTTTTACAAGGTTTCTTTGGTAAGATCTTCCATGCAATAGCTTTCTTATCTCCATTTCTGTAAGGGAAAAAAAAAAGTATGAGTATACACTGGAATACATGTGTGTTTATAGGACTGTATTCAGAAGATTTTTCTGTCCCACCGGAGAAATAGGAGAATACATACAATTTGCTCCATTCAAACAGGACTGAAAACTAACCAAAGTCAGAATTGATTTAGCATATGGAGATGTGATCACAGCCATCCAACCAACACCCCATGTTTCAGGATGATGATTATGCAGCCATGGTCTTTAGCACCAAAATCTATCCACTTAGAACTCATGAAAGATGGATTAATAGTATTAAACACCTGCCATTGCACAAGCAGCCACCACACATGCTATGTTCTGAGCTGTAATTACTTAAACTAGGATGGAGATAACGACTAGAATACTCACAGTAACCTGAACTCAATTTGATATGGTCACTGCTTTGTGTTTAGTGCATATAGATTTGGACTTAACTACATCATTATCACAATGAAAAAAAATTACAACTTTCTTTGTCAACAGAGGGCACCAGCAAGCCTCTAGGCCCCATCAGTCACAAAGTAGCAAAAATTGTGAACATTTGTTTGACACTTTTTTCCATATGTTGAAAAGGAATTGATCTGTTGTAAGAGAATGCATAGAAAATCAACTAAAAGGAGAATGAAAACAGAAATAATGGGAAATAAATTATTTTCCATTAATAAATATGTAGCTAATTAGACAAACACCAGAAAAAATGTGCAAACATGTTTCTCTTAACCAAAAAGTAACAAAACCAAAAGCAAAGTTATTGCAGCCTGGTTTGAACTAGCTCCTAAAAAACTTCAGAGCAGAATTGCTACACAAACTTGATATCAGCATAAAATCCTTAACAAAAATTTCTATTTACAAATGCTTACTATATGCAACCTTCTCTAAATCCACACACAACTACTCAAGCAAAAACAAACCCACAAATAAGATGATTTAGGAAGAAAAAAAAAGTTTTTAGTTAGGCATCTTAATGCTGATAGACTGCTATGAACAGGGATGATACAAAAAACACTGACCGAAGTCTTTAAGAAGTTACACTAAATATATACGAAGAATATTAAACACTATACTGAAATAAAAGTTTCATTCTGACATACTAGTTTAATTAACTTTGTGTGGTTTAGAATCTTGAATTAGAAGCCGTGCCCTTTTCTGCCTGTTTTTGTATCACATCATCACAAGGAAATAAATAATTCTTTGTTTTGAATATTATAACAGCATGGGCTGTTTCCCAATGGATTTAACAGCACACAGATATCCCTTACTAGCATTTTAGATACTAGAGAATTAGTATTACAGAAAAATGTAGTACTCTACAGAGTCCTGAAGGAGAAATATTATAATACTGTTATTTCAGGTTGTTAATGATGGCATGATTCTAAGTCTTAATTAAGACTCTCTCACCCATGGAAGTTCACATCTCTAATTCACGACATGAAGTTCCTATACTTCATATTGCTATGGAGTACAGTTTAATTGCTATAATTTTCAAGCAGATGCCCAAATGAAAATACTAGAATTTCTTCAACACTAGGAAAGCTGATAATGAAAAACGAAAATGACTATTCTCCTCCAAGGACAATGAAGAGAGACAAAATATTGTTAATCCAGGAAATGTGCCAACATGTGCAATATGATCTTAATGTAATAGAATAACAGGCAAAAATGTTCCATGAGGACTGTACCTCCATCCTGCCGAGTTGAACAGGAGGTATCATTTCTAGCATGCTCATTTGAAGAAAGATGATATATTAGAAAGTTCAGAGGTTTCAAACAAACACCCCCCCCCCCCCCATTTTTTTCCAAAAAGTTAGGTTTTGCCTTTGAAAACAGGAAGCAAAAAAAATTAACATGGAAAAAAAATTGTTAATAAATACTTACTGAGAAATGGTATTGGTATCTAGGTCAACACAGCTAACGTCTGGTGGAGGGTCATAGAGATCAAAGTATCTTGAATCAATTCCCACTATGAATGGGCATGGTGCACTTAACACATCCGCCAGTGCCAAGGGACAGAGAGGAATATATGGGCAAGGCCAGTGGAAGGGAAATATCATCTTTGAAAATACACAGAGACAAAAGCATAGGTTAAACATGTACAATAATATAGTCTATGCAAGTAAAAGCCACCCTTCACTAACCACCACTTCAAAATTATTTAACATGGTAGACAATTATTACTGAAAATCTAGATGCAGATTGTTAAATTAAAAACACACTAATTTCTCTAAAAATGTGAAGTGTTTAATTTGTAGGAAAAAAGCTCTTCAGTTTAATAGACTGTATATAGTAGAGGTAGCAAAACAATGCTTAGTGACGACAGGCAGGAAAACAACAGGCACGTTAAATTCTTCTGCAAGGGAGAATAGAGTGCTATTTGGGAGAATCAGAAACTCATATTTAGTGCATTCTGCTGACCAAACAACACGCTTATTTACAATGTTTACACCCAAGGAATCAACAACAGTTACTCTATCTTTGTGGGATATCATTAGCAACACAAATTTTTCTCTCTAATGATCTTTATTTTTATTCTTAAGTAATCCCTAAGCGTAACAGCACTACTACTAATTTTGGATTTTATCTAAAAACTTTTTCCACTTACAGGTGTATGATCAAAAGAAGGTTACTTACAGAGACTAATGCCTCTGTCACACTAGTAAGGACAGAAGGTCGTAATGAATGGATGAGAATTTTATGTTCCGTCACAGCAAATACAAGTAGAGTTACTGCATTTTCAGGTCCTAAATTCTGAAGTAGTGTAGAAAACTTGCCTCCACTGTTACAGAATATAAACACACTGGTGAGTTACAAAGGACCATAAAAAAAGAAATGTTCAATAACAAAATAGAAAACAAGGAATTAGAGTAGGATTTTAAAAACTTATTTCTGCAAATTTCGCTTTTAAAGAAGATTGCTAGGCAGACTACCTGGTACACCTCACTGTTCAGTGAAGAATGGTTACTTCCCAGTAGTAATTGTGATTCTTTGAGACTCTTCAGTCAGTCTGGACTATTTTCATGACAGTTGCATGATGATTTTTCATTTTGGGAAGCAATTTATAGAGAGACAACACACATTTCTTTAATCTCTCTCCTGCTCAGAGGCACAGACTCCTTCAATTACCTTGCAATACAAAAGCGGCACTATCTTGGGAGCCCAGGTACCAATTCTTAGAAAGAGGATCTAACAATCTATGTTCTGCCTCAAGAACCACAAAAATTATTTGAAAAAACACAGATATTGTTCACTAAGTTGTCAGGGTGCAGGTATAATCACAAAACCAAACTTCAGATACACTAGCTACAAAAAGCACCAGACAAGGTAAGTTAATTTGCACAATTACAACTCAAAGTACCAAATCTTTTTTGCAACGCAAGCCAGAATACATTCCACAATTAAACAGAAGATAGTGGTACTTGCCTCAGTGGAAGGGGTGATGACACAGGTTGGCTAAGAATCAGGTTATCATGTGGAGATAGCTGGAAAAAAATTTTAAAATACATTTTTTATTCTGAATTTTGGAAATATTTATTAGAAATTATGCTGCTATAACAAAGAACACCTAAATCCAGAATTTAAACTAAGCCAAACCTTATATAGCCCAGTTGTACAACACTGTAAGAAGTGATGTGCAAAGTGACGCATCAGTACCTTTCAGTGAAAACCTGGCAAATGCTCTTCCTTTCTTAGTCAGAACTGAATACATTGCATATTCATAAAGGGGAATTTAAACTAGCTAGTACTGTAAAAAAAATGAATATATTAACTGCTGAAAATTAAGCCTTCTATATTCTTAGGGAAATGAGGACCCATAGCTCATACACAGCTTTTGGGGCCAGGGGGGCATTCTTTTTAGATTTAGGGGGAAAGAGATGGATAAAATTCTTGGAGAGGAGAGATGGCAGGTCATCATGTAAAGTAATATTTTCTTCAAAAGACACGAGCATGAGGCTCTTAGCTGGTAGAAATGGCTCGGCTCCGCTTTGATAGAATCTTTAAAATTTGCATTAGTTGCAGATCCAAGATGAAGATCTTATTAATTCACATTTCTTTCTTGCAGTGATATGACATCAAGAGAAATCATTCATATATTCAGCATGAATAGGAGGATTCAAATGAGTACAAGAATACAGACACACAATCAATTTATCAAAGCTCAGCTGATGTTTTCAGCCATAGTAAACCCAAGGTAATGAGATACAAGGTAGCTTAATCCTCCCTGCTAAGTGGTCATGCATTTTCTATCTACTGCATAAAAGCACACATACAAGTAGCAATAGTACTTCAGCAAGTCACAGTAACTTGAAAAACTAAGCTGTGAGTTCAGATAACTTTTAGTAACTTTTTATTTTTGAGTGTGGTTCACCTCAGAGCCCACTGCAGATGTCCAGACAATAGAAATCAGAAGATCAGATGAATTAGAAATACAAATGCTGAAGCACTAAGTCACCTAACACTGTTCCTGGACAGACACACAAAACAATAACAAGAGTCTGTGCAGCGCTGCTTCCTTGCATATTTCACATAACAGAGCTTTTGAAGGCTAACGCTACATTTAGCTTCAATGACAAATGAGGATGGCCACACCACTCTACATGCCAGATTTGTCTTCAAGTAAGTCACCTTGTGACAACCACCACCATTAGCTCGTTCAGTGAAAGAATTCAGCCTGAGGTAACCTTCAGAAACCACCCTCAGAAAGGAAGCATCAGCCTAACGCCCTACGACTTCAGCGTTTCAGGATGAACAGAATCAAGCATTTATTCAAAGTGCATGCCTCCCTCAGGCAAAAGGGGCACTTATTGCCCCCCATTCTTCAGAGGGAGGAATATGTTATTCGATGTGCTCTTGAAGCTTGCAGGTTGTGAATACATCATTAGAACATCTGTGCAGTGAGGGGATGTAGGACACGGAAAACTAAGTCTAGCAGATTTCAGCTCAGAAACAACAGATCAACAATGGCAGCTGGAAACCAGCAATCAGGAACATTCCTGAATGTTTTACTAATGGCTGTAATTGCTTTGAAACTTAAAAGTCAGACACATGCCGTGCTCTCTCTCATTTGTGACAGGTGCTAAGAAAGATCTCAGAATGGGCTACACATCCAGACTGGCATACATGTAGTTACTAAAATATATCAGCTCTCATTTTCAGAAAGCGTACAGGCACTTGCGAGACCTTCTATGCAGGATTCGCTATACTAATTATTTAGCAAAAGACTACCATGTTTTAAATTAACAAGCTTCACTGAGAAATTACTATTTCTTCAATGAAATTGAATCATAAAAGCTTGTAATTTTCAAGAATACAAGAATTTCCTCCCATACTATATTTGGGAAAACATCTTAGACACAATCACCTGTGATTTTATTCAGTGCAGCAAACCCAACTCAAAAGACCCTGAAAGCAGCTGGAAGTACTTATTCACCTCAACTGCCACCGCCTACTTTAAAAGCAGTGTGTTCTCTACCTGTACTATCAGCTACTTGACACATACAGCATTTTGAAAATAAGGTGTAAGAGACAATTTCACATCATTTACATCTAGGTCCTCAGACTTTCCTCTGGGATATAAACCCATGTATATTTTGACAGACTTCCCTAAAAATTCAGACTAAAAAAAAAATTAAATATATTTTTCTAAACTCACTTATAGTCCTCTGTAAATGTGTGTTTGTGTTCCCTAGCACAAATATCTTATTGAATATGGATACAAAAAACCCCCCAAGATGTAAAAATACTGGGTTTTGAATTGAACTTCAAAATCATCATAAAATTATAGAAGTGTTAGATACAGTTTAACTGCCTTCCAACCCCTTTTCAATAACAGTAATAAATGTCACTTCTTCAGAATATCCAAGTACACTAAGGAGGATCTGTAATAGTCAATACATTCTATAAATACATAAACCAAGACTGCATTTACTCTGAAAGACTTCACTAGCATATGGGCTACAACATTAAGCCTGAAAACTGCACAGGGCTCTCCATATTTTATTTCATACAAGTAGTAACAGAGTAACATCATTTTTTAACAACTTGTTCAAAAACCACAGGATTCGTACAATAACGACAACCGGAATAGAGGTGCCTTTTCTCAGCAATAAAATTTTAACATGCCTCTACCTGTTTTGCCTCTTATGAGGAGAGAAAAAAAAAAAAAAAAAAAAAAAAAAAAAGAAGATTAAATAATACTTCACTTAAGAAGTCTTTGAGAGAGGGATTTCCTCTCTCCTACCCCAACAGTGACATGGGTAAAGTTTCACATACTAGGTAACCTAATTCTAGCAATGATACCATTTCACTCACACACAGTAAAATATGCTAGGTCTCGCAGGTAGAACAGAATAAGGGTCATATTTGATAAACCGTGCCTCTGTTGAAAGTGTGTGGCTCTTGCAGTTTTCAGAAGAGCTATCCATTATGTAGAGGACAGCACGAAGCCCTTTGGGACAACGGGTAATCATGGATATACATTTGACATCTTGTTTCATTTATTTATTTACACTCAGCCTTCCTACAGTAGCAAGATGACAGTTCAAAAGCTATTGCCAAAATCAAACCAGATGCCAACTTTGCATAGTTCTTCATTAATTTCCATATACTCTGAAAAAAAAAATTAGTTCTAAGCTCACTAAACAGTATCTTGTAATATCTCATTAAAATCCTTAACTAGACTGGAAACTGAGCAGGGAGAAATCTGCAAAAATTAAGTGTATGGATTTAGGAAAAAAGTCCTGAGCAACAAAAAATTGAACATATAAATTACATTTATAATTTACTAACCTGTTCAACATTTTTTTTGTTTTCACTCAAGACATAGCTATTAAAAAGAAATTTACACTTACCTGAACTAGAATTCTTGGCCTCTGAGGGGATGGAAAAGGAACTTTATGCATGAAATGGGAAATGTGTCTAGAGGAAAAGAAAAATACTGATTAGTAGAAATTAAAAGCTTAAACTGGGTTACCTCAAGACAAAATTATTGCCAGTAAGATAAATTATTATATCAAAATGTCACATACTTATTCAGAAGACAGAGTTAAAAAAACAGCCCCCAAATCCTACAGGGATATTCTGACCTTGAAAACCTATTTTTCTTCCAGTGACAACCAAAATGGCAGACCACATTATCTTTCAGTCTACAGTCTTGGTTTGTGAGACCACAAAATTACAAGGAATCTTTTTTTTTTTTAGAAAAAAGATGTGAAGTAGAAATATTGATGTTTGAGTATCACAATACCATTTTACAATCATGCCTCTGAGACTGGCTTGACATAGCACTATACCTCAGAGACTAGCACTGTTTTTTTGTAAAAAAAAAATTCACAGATGAGTATCAAGGAGAGTCATTAAGTTCATCCATTTTCTTCACATCCATTTTTCTTCACTTCTAAATATAAAGTTATGCAAGATGTCTGATGAAAAAAGTGTTAAGACTTTTCATATACCACAAATGCAGAAAAATGTTTTTAAAATCTGAATAAGTTCTCAATTTTATAAAATTATTAAATCTATAAAAGTTCTCAAAGTGTAGGAGTTCTACTTAATACACACTTTTACATTAAAAGAAACTACATGCAGTCAGTAGAAACTCAGGGAGAAACGCGTCATCCATCATAAGCTGCATGCTACAGCACGTACTTTACTGGGATTTCTACAACTCTTACCATTATTATGTCACAGACAACCAACCAAATTTTGAAGAAATTCAGACAAGCCCATAAATAAGTATTGGTTTATATAGAAGACTCATTTTACATGGTTCTGATTCAAAACTATATATGTCACACAAATATTTCAATGTAGCTGTATATGATGCCATTAGATATATCAAAAAAAAACCTATTTTTGCTGTGTTTTTAATTTTGTGTACTTGTGCTAGGCTTAACTTCTTATTGCACTGCTATAATCACATAACTGGCATTAACCAGAAGCAGTCTCGTGCCTCCTCTTTGCTACTCCTCAATTGGCTTCCCTGGTGTCGGCATCAATGTCTCTGCAGCTGGATGGCAAACGTGAACAGGAAAGGGATCAGGCTGATGATGGATTTGGGGTTTCATCTTTATTACCAGTGTATGAAGATGGTGGCAGAAATATGGAACGTCCAGCAAACATCAAGGGAAAGGCCTGCTGCCTGCAGAAGCAGGGCTGACTGAAAATGTTCAAATACGTATATATGGCACAGAAAACCTTCATCATCATTAAAATAGCTGAAGAAACTAGGCCAGATACTATATTAACTTCATGCAAGACAGGGTAGCTATATCTAAATTATCCACAGTATACTGACCCGCCAGTTTACAAATCAGAGAAATCAGAATAAGCAAATAGATCTGTAAAATCAAAATTAGTAAAACATTTACTTCTCATTTTAACTCCAAAACCAAAAGTAGTTCTCAGGTTAAAAAAAAAAGGAAATATTTTCATTATTAGAAGTTTACACCACCAGAATTTTAGAACAAATATAGTAGATACAAAGTGGAAAAATAAAGCGGATAAACAATCACCAAAAAGATTAATCCACAAAGTCTCATAAAACTTAATATCAAAGTTTAATCAGAAAAGAGACTGATGTGTAATAAAATAAAAAAGCAAATTCTGCATTTGAAATCTGATGCATTAAAAGTTACTTTAGCCTAGAAATGTTAAATGATGTTACTCATCAATTACAGATATCAACTACTGCTTGGATATAAGAATTTCCTCTGCATTTTAAAATGTGAAATCCTTTATGCAAGAAGGAAATTAAGTTTATTTATCACAAATAAAGGAGGATTACCAGTGCAAAAAATTCAATCTGCTTTATTATCTCTTATTACACAACAAGCAAGCACCTGATAAAACACAAAACTACATATTTCATTCTCCTAACTTAATGTATGCAACATTAAGAAAGGATTTATAATCTTGCTCCTCATAATCAGTATGCTAAAGGGTGCAAAGCTAATTAAAAAAGGCTTTCAGAGATACCTCTGCAGGCGCTTAAATCACAAATAAAAACCAAGGCTTTTTCAGGAAGTAGGTAAAGATACATTTAATCAATGGAGAAAAGTGCTTAATCTAGTGTAACCATTATATTCAATGTGTGATGACTAGAGTTAAAGGGATATTATAGGAAATTTAGAAGTAAAAAGAGAGCTCTCATCAACTGAAATTACTGTTACAAATTTTTGAAATTACTTACTTCTCAATGGGTAGGACATGTGGACCAGAAATGGAGTAACGATACAGAAAGGTAAGAAACTTCTTGAAAGCATCAAAGAAAGGCCAGTGAGAGAGAAGACAGATGCATTTATTTGTTTGAACTGTTCTGCATGTGTCTGACTTTCCCTCGACAGCAGCTGCTAATCCCAGTTGAGATTTTTGTTTCTCTGTGAGATTCTCTTCAGGATACAGTTCATAAAACTGAATAGCAGCACCATATACCTGCAAAGCACATAGTTGATTTGAAGTCAATAAATCTGCCTCAATCTCCAAAGTAATCTAAAAAACCCCAAACATTCAAGGAAAACCAAGTCTACGTTACTGTTTGAAAAATTACATTAATGCACAATTTTTTGAAGCAATCTATTGTGGAATATTCTTGTGGCTGTGAAAATCCAGACTGCCTATTATATATTTAAAACACTTAATGTCATATGAGAAAGAGTAATTTATGAAATGGTTTAAGTGAGAGAAAAATAATGAATATACGGAGTACAACTCCTGTCAACTGCTCCTACAGCTGCCTTTAAAGCTATTTTAGGCATCCTTTATAAGCAACTCAAAGCAGTATTCCGCTGACATTCAATTTACTTTGTAGAACAAGCACATACATGCAAGGTTGTTTCCATGCTTGCAATAAAAACAGTATACTTGCACATCTATTAAGTCAGAATTTTTATAGCTCTGTAGTTTCAAAGGCTACCATGGCTGGAAAGCAAAGGAGTACAGGTTTATATGATCAACAGTCCAGCAGTGAAATAAATGCAAGCCACTCTTTAAAGGAGTCTTCGAATTAAGCCCAAACGAATAGATTCAAGTTTATCCATGAAAATATGCATTAACATCATCCTGAAGAGATAAACAACCAAATTTTAAACTTAAATTATTAACGAATTTTTAAGTTTTCAAAATACCTTTTCTGCAGAAGCTCCAGTTAGTACAAACGTAGAAAAAACTGGGAGAGGGTATTTACTGTTGGATGGCCAACATTCAATTGTTGCACCCATAGGTAGACAAAAAAGAGGCACAGATTCTGGTAACGGGAATGATTCATAATCTTCTTCAGGATATCTGCATATTAAACCTATAAAGGCAATCAGTAAAGAGGCAGTTACGCAAGGAATAGCAGAAACCTATTTGTAATAGCTCATTCCATACAAACACGCCCAGAAAAATGGTATATGAGCATAAAATGACTTCAGAAGATCAGCAAAGTTGTAAACCATCGGGCACAGCGAATAGCTGGAAAGGGGCAGCACAATTCTAAGGCCTAAGGAGAAATCACCTGACTGAAACATTGGACTGAAGTCCTACTTACTATTCTAGGAACTATTCATAACTAATTTATCTTTTTCTGTTTGCACATTGTGTACATCTCAGCTATTATTATAATAGTTCACATTCATCACTAGTATGAGTAAAGATTTAAAATTTAGTTAATGAATGTTAACCTAATTAATTGAGAAATAAGACCGATGTTTCCAATTATGAAAGTAACTGCTTCTTGCAACAAGTTTCCAGAAAAAATTTGTTAGATGTTAGATTGATCCTACTGATATTAAAAAAAATTAACCTAACCAATTAATTTTGTTGATCCACCTCAGCTGAGGATTCAGTTAATGTGCTTTCAAACTAATGTGTTTAGACTTGATTTTAAACACAGCTGTAAAACACAAAGTTTGAAGCAGAGGCTCTTAACATATAGGTCTTCAGTTACATCATACGCCTGTCACAACCTGTCCTTTCTTATTGCCAGTCCAGGGGACTCCACACCAAGAATGACATCGCATGAGGGGATTTAGGATTTCTGTGCATTAGAGAGCACATTCACTACAAATTCTTTTCTAGTATACAGTGAAATATTAATAAGCAATAAAAACTGGTAATCAAGAAGGGCAGTGGGTTTTTCCACCCAAGAAACAAAATTTTGTGCAAGCTACTGGCAGGTGTGGAACCTTTTAAATATTTTATTTACAAATTTATTGTCCACCTTCTACTTAGTCCTAAACTACTGCTGTCTACAGAGAGCAGCATCTCAAAGGCATATCAGTGCATTAAAGCTCAAGTCTGAGTCATGCTCATGAGTTGCACTCAAACATGAGGGGTTTAAAAAAAAAAGGAAAACCCAAGACATTTCATCAGTCATAGCAAATCTAATTCTGTCTTAGAAATAAAACAACAAGCTAGATATGATATACAATCCAAAAATACTTAAAGAGCTCAATGCCACTGATGTTCAGGGCAGTGTAGAAGTTTGCAGTGTTCTTTAAGAGGTTTATTAAAGAAACTGTTCATGAAAATGCATCAAATAATTTTTGCAATATTTCTTTCTGCATATTTATATACACACACACAGACATCCCTAAGAGACAGTTATCAGCAACAAACACAGAGGTGGGAGACACACAGGTTTGTAGAAAACTACCAAAACACAACCGAGTTTCCAATTAAAAGCTAATTTCAAAACAAAAGGGTCACGATACATAATTCTAAGGCTTATTTTAGGACATTATCTTAAAATAATTCTTCAGGGAAGATTCCTTTTTGGATAATGCCAAGACAGTGACTTTGTCAAATAATTCTCCAACAAAAAAATTTATGACATTACAAATAAGCCTGTAAATCCTGAATTGAAGACAAAAAAAATAAAGTAGTTACGTACCAGCTTTATATGATATGGTGTTGGTTTTTGCCACAGACTTTTTATAACATAAATATTTCCCCACTGTGGAAGAAAAGAAATGATTGGATTACATGATGAAATATCACAAAAGGACGTAACAGAAGAGAGTGGAGGAAAACCTCCTCTCCCTTGTTTACAAAGAACCACAATCTACACACAAAGCCGTGGAGCATTAAGATACAGGAATTTGGGGCCTGCTACACTAGCCTTTCCGAAAATGCCCACAAACAGACAACTGAAAGAAAAGTAGTGTTAGCTCTGAGCTAACCAACCCACAGCAGGCATCAGCCTGATCCCTAAAACAGAACTGGTTTATAGACTGACTCATGAGATACATAAATTCTTCTCCAAAACATTGTTAACACAACAGAATTTTAAATACAATTGTCATCCACATAAATATTTAAACCTTTCTCCATTCTATTAAACTTCTGGCTTCAATGTGTATATTGACAGACATAAATACATACACACACACAGGGCAATGTTTCTGTTATTAACTACATTTGTGTATTACTTTAAGTTAATACTTCACAACTTTCTTTTGTGCCTGCACTTTTATTCTAATCACGCTGATCTTCAAGCCCAATTCCTTATTCCATCTGTGATTTCACAGCCTGTGAAACACCACAGCATAATGTCATAATTTTTGCAGCTTCTAAACAACTATTTCCTTTCTGGCACTGTTCATGTTTTAAAATATTTTTCAAGTTCTCCATTTCTAGACATGAGAACAAAGAACATGGAAAGCCACAGAATGGAAAAGAGGGGCACCCTTTAAGGGCACACAAAGCTTTTAGGCAATTTCTCTAAGGTAGCACTCCAATAACCCAGTCAATACAGGGACTGGTAGAGCTGAAAAATTCATTTGTTAATGTCTACAGGTATTTATTTAAAAACAAGTACAAATCAATTTCCATGATCTTTTTTGCATGATACTACTGGCACATGGAGTCAGCATCCTCACCAGCATGCTGACTTTTGAGGACCCTACAAAAGCCAGCATATAGGGCTGCAGATGCAATCAGGGGACACTTAAATATTATTTAAGTTCTGCAAACCAAAGCATTGTGATGCCTGTGTATTTTAGCAGGTCTAGTTTTGGAACCATATTAAACATTTAAACAGGTTTACAGTCAACATCATCCAACATTGCTCACACGCAACTTTCTTCAGAGAAAAAGTTTGTGAAACTACTGAGGAGAATGACACATAAAATAGAATTGTAGGTAACGGGAGAGCTTAAAAACAAAACAGAAGGCGGCTGTTAGACACAGAATTCCCATCACAACAGTAAAACCAGTGTCTGCTTGCTCCAAGACTTCCAAAAAAGACTTTGTTACAAGCAGGAACAAAGAAATGTAATCCTCCAACTCTTCCAAGATTTGATTTATCTCTGGAAAGTGCTTATCAAAATTTTTCACCAGGTACTCTGAGAACTGTCACAGATACTCCACAAACATTACATCACTGAATAACAAGTGTTCAAATTCCAGATTTTGAATCTTACCATACTATTATTAAGGTTCTTGTCAACCTTGCAGAATGTATGCGGAGGGGTTTCTCCTTTACTTGGTATGATTATACATATATCCGTAACAGCCAACGTGTTTTGTGTCATGTTTTCGGATGCTCTTCGGTAAGTGATGTACACCCTTTGTGATGAGGCACTGCCACTAATATTAGCAGGCCGACCATACGGAGTAGTTTGAATTATTTCACAACCTTGTTTTACTCTTTCTTTCCCATCATATAAAACCCTAGTTAAAATGGGATGAACAAAAGAAGGCACATAATTTTTTTTAACACTTCAAATACTAATACTCTACTAAGAATTAAAACTGAATAGTACTAGTTTAACAGCAGCTCTTGTCTCATCTCTGATCAAAACATTTTTACTGACAAGTTCAGGTCACGTTATATCAAATTGCATTCTAACAGAAAAGCTCTGTGACGAAACTACACTAGTTTTCCTCACGTCTAATTGCTTTTAAGTGTTTTGTTTACTGCAAGTGTTACTTTCAACTCTACTAAAGATTCATTACCTGATCCTAAGAATGTTATACAACTCACCTCTTTTCCATCTGTATTAAATAGGTTAAACATCTTATCTCAACCAAACTATATACATTGAAAATTACAAATGGCTTCGAAAACTCCAAAAGGCAAAGGACACTTGTCACTAAAACCCACTCAGCATGCATTTTTCCTAGCATACTGGCTTACAGTATGCTCAAGTCAAGAAATATCTTCCTGTTCAGAGTTTTCCCTTAGATTAAAAAAGTATGATATTCCAATAAACCTTATTAGTCAAATCACTTACTGGAACAGAAAAAACACTCACCCCAAATCAGTAAGTGGGGGCTTATCCCTTCCTCGGCGATAACAAAGGTATATTTGCGGTCCTACAAGACTGCCATTATTAAGATCTGCAGACAGTCCCGAGGGAGTAACATCTATACATTTATATCCCTGAGGAACTTCCTCCCCCAGAGATTTATTAATTACTGTTACATCTGTAATAGGTTCTTTTGGTTTAGCAATTTTATGGCAAGCATCATTGAAGTGTATTTCTTCCTCTAGTGGTTTTGAAATATCTGTTAATCCTGCGACAACAAAGTAGTCAGCAACACGAGCCCCTTTGTCTTCCATCTTCCATTACAAGACGTTATAACTGGTAATAAAGAAATATATATCAGTATTTTTAAAGGAGATCACAAAATATCAGAAACAATGAAATTATGTTTATTTTTAGAACAGAAAAATTGCAATAATATAAAGGAAAACACAACAGCAGAAGAATGCAAAAGAAATAGAGAGAGTCATCATTAGACAATGTAACATTTTTCATTTGTAATCATGACCTTTCCAATTTGGAATTCTGAGCCACAATTTCGAGAGTTAATTGTTAAATCTTGGGATGGAAAACCCAAGAGGCCTCTTTTTGTTAACTTACACGCTAGAGTAGTTGAACCAACAGGAACAGTAACAGCAAAATACTGAACAGTTTTGCAGATAGTTCACTGCTTAAAGCTCATGGCTGAGCTAAAAAAGTAATTCTCAGGTATTTTGCATACCATTCATTACTGCATTCTATTCACCATGACAATGGATCTTCTCAAGCATGACCTGCAATTAATTTGTTTCCTGAATATTAAACTTACATGCAAAGGCTGTCTTGATTATGCTTAAGATCCAACTATAATATTTGCAGCCACCTCACCCTATGGGATAAATCAGATACCAAGGCCAGATCTTTTTGGAGTATTTTTGCAGGCTGAAAGTTGATACTTTTTTTTTTTTTTTACAGTGTTTTGGGGCTCAGGTCCTTGATATGCAACCCACCCATAGCCAGCAATATACCAGCTTTTGTACAAAGACATTTAAACCAAGTGAGCTTTAATGGACCACAGACCACTGTGAAACAAAAACATTCAAGACCACATGAAGTTTTTCGTAATGAAAAGGAATACAGTCTTGCTGTTCCGGCCAAATTGTGTCGGGAAATTACATTCTTTCCTCCTGGAACATACTGGTAAAAAAATTCCTTACATATGAATTCCTTCTATATAGTGGTTTTTTACAGTGTTTGCTACCAATGTCGTAAATTAACTTCACCACAGGACAAAGTAATATCTATAGGATGAAAAGATGGCCTTGCAAATGCAGTGCACTACATATCAGGAGATTCAGTTCCCTCTTAGAGATTCTTGAATACCTTTGCAAGTCACTTAAACCCCATGTCTTATTTCATAGCTTGATTTTGCAAATAAACAAAATATTTTCCGCTCTTTCATGGAATATTGAGAAATGGGCTGAAAACGTTTATCTAAGTCACTCATATGTGCTGGAACCTCACTAAAGTAGCTTCAGGAAGTTTACTGTCATCAAGTTCCAGACTTTTTAAACCAGACAAGCTATTTAAGACTTCCTTTTGTTGAATTAATTTTGTTTGGGTGTAAAATTCTATTGCAAAAGAAACTGTCACAACACAGGACTTTTGAGAGCTTGCTAACATTCAGAAACTCAACAAACAGAACTTAAAACAGTTTGAATGGTTGGTACAAGACTTCAGTTTTCATGCCACCTTTAATCCGATTGCTTTACTTCCCTTTATTTTTTGCTCTAGGTAGCAAGTATTAAGCCATATCAAACTTCATACCATCATGATTATTGTATTTTACCAATAAATCTTCATTAAAACAAGCAAAATAAATTTGGACACCTCTCACTGGTAAATAGGGAAACTATGTCCGAAGTTGATACTGTGCATTTAATCACATTGCTCCAGGCTGAGCTCAGATTTCCAGCACCAGTCCCTGCTCAAGAAGGAAGAATGTCAGCCTGTGCCTGATCACCACCATCGACTTCAGCCAGCAGTGCAAGAAAGGTAACTCCATCTTCCTGCTCTTCTTTCCTAGCTTGTTTGTATTTTGGTGGAGTAACACAGGACCAAAGGCTAACATCTTTTAGCTAACACAGCTGAAGTTCTAAACATTTCGTAACATCAACAATTCTCTGTAAAACTTAGCTGTGGTACACTACATTTTAACTATCATGAAACCTTTCTATCTTTATCAACCAGCACTCACTCTAAACCAACAGATAAGCTGTCACAGTTTTTCTTAAAGCTGCAATACAGTGAGCAAGCATTTGCTCTTAAGTTTAATACACACATACATCAGAGTACAAGCAGTTGCTTTAAAAAAATATCATTTGAAAATGCATCAAGAAATGGAGAAAGAAAAAAAATCAATACTTCATAACAGATCAGAAAAGAGCTATGGTCAAAGACTGCTCAGAAGACAGAGAGGGTTTTATAGACATATATATAAATTAATATATAAATAACATTATAAAACATATATATTATATATAAAAATTAAAATCTAAATCTCAAAATATTCCTCAATGACTGCTGAGGAAGAAAGGGCTGGCTAAGTAAAAAGATACCAACCAGGCAATTTAAACTCAATGACCAGTCCATCGTGAGCTCTGGTGAAAAAGTTTTCAAAAGACTTGAAAAGACAGAAGGTAGACTGAAAGCTGGCTAAGTCTTGCACTGTTGTGTATGAAAAACACTCTGTACCCACAGGCTCACTACAAAGCAGCAGAGCCACTACAAAACTGAACTTTGCCTTAAAGATTCTGAGTGAGAAAAATATTAAGTTAAGCTTTGTTCCTTTTCTCATCAGCATTATTTCACAAAACTACACCAATTTCTGGAGTGCTTCACAATGCCTTTTCAGTTGAAAACAATATTTTACTTAGTTAGTAATCAAAAATTATACAAACTATGACTGTTAAAACTGCAAGTAAGCCTTATAACTTCAGTGTATTAGCAGCACACTGTTCCAGTTTAATTAGCCAAGACAGCATTACAAATAAACAGAAAGACGTATATACATTATACTGAAGAATCATTCCTATCTCACAATTTAAGCCCCACTATTAATTATTTCATGTTAAGTTTATTCCAAAAGTCTTAAATTCAAACATCCATTTATTCCCAAATGCACTTTCAAGAAAAACTGGGACAAGCTCTCCTCATTTCAAGTCAGTTAAAATTAGAATCCCCTACATGCAAACACCTGCTATCACACAAATTTGCATCCTAAGGTTATAGCAAGTAATACACAAGTCAGCAAGACTTTCATAATTTAAGGGAGGAAAAAAAAAAAAAAAAAGGCCTAGCTGATGATGCATCATCCCTTCAGATCTTTACCTTCTGATACAAAGGCTTGCAGCTAAAAATGGCATAAAATGCAGAAGATATCAAAACAATTCAGTGGTATTTTATTCAAGCTGACTTAGACTTCACTAGAGCTATCGTGACACTCAAACTTTCAACATCTGTTTACTGTGAGAGCAGATTTATGCAAACTTTGTTAACAGACCCAGAAAGAAGGCATATAATGTGACCTAATTCAGTGACAAATCATCATTCTGTGAAAAGCAATTTCACATAAACTGATGAATGCAAGTAATTTCTGCAGAAACTCTTACCATGAAGGTATTCCAAAGCATGTTATAATTCTATACATCACACAGCACTGCAAGCCAACTTCCAGGAAACAAAAAACCAACCCACAACAGAAACAAAGGCACACTGCACAAGAGTGTTGCTTGAAGAAGGAGGTCCCAGGTGAAATTCAACACTAACAGCGCCACACTGAGAAGCAGCTACTACTGCTTCTCTACACTTCAGTCATCCGGGGACGAAAGGCTGAGTTTTGAAGCCAGTGTAATGGGATCATAAACATAACCTCTTACAAAAGCCTCTGGAACCAAGTGCAATTTCCGGTCTTTGTGCCATCCCATGACAATCACTTTTAATGGACTGCATATAATTAATACCACTATAAATTAAACAAAATATCTTTGCAAACAGCTAACTGACTTGGAAGAACATATTAAAACACCCATAGACTTTGCAGATCATAAATGTGGGAGAAAAGAGGGCTTTTTGCCATTTCTAAAAATATGGCAACAGAGGAAACAATCAGATAATCCTGTCACAGATCCACAAACAATTAGCTTGATTGCTTTGCCAAAAGAAAGGATAAACTCAGGTTCATTGTTCATTCAATTTAATTTTTTAATATCATCGCACTTCTTCATTAGGAAACACCAATTAATAATTTTCACTGTCACCACTTCTGTAACTCACAGGTGCTGGCATTTTAGCAACTGTGCAAAAGATATTAATCTGAAAAATTAGCTTTGTGATCTAACACTATACATCCATTGCCAGTGTTAAAAGAGAACCAGTCTGCTGCAAAGTGCAAAACAATCTGCTATTACAAGAAAGAGGTTTACAGGAGTTCCATGTGGCTGCCCCTTTTGTAATAAATAAAATATCAGTGGGACTTGGATCTTGCCACTTAATTCAGAAAAAGCAGTACATGCTCTAACTTATTTTACTTCCAAAAAAGGTTTTTTTCTGTTTGCTATAAGCTATCCACAACTCTCATATAGAAAAGAAACAAAAATTGAAAGGTATGATTTCATAACAGCTCACACATTTTCAGATAAAACAACTAAATCAGTATCCAAGATTTTTGAACAGATCACATTTTTCATTTAAATACTATAAGAGGGAAGTACACATCAGCTTTTTCCCCATCACATGACCAGAACTAATGCCAATGTGCTGTGTATTCCATCTGTGCAGCAGCAACAGGCATGATACTTCATGAAGGACAGAGTTTATTATAGACGCACCACAATTTCCAAGGGAAAAAAATACTGATATAATTCATACAACCTGCACCTACACACAAACTTTCCTCGAGGTAACTTGTAAGTGGGCTGCAGACCAGAAGAACTGCTCTAGCAATGCCAGTTTCTTTCCAGGACCCAGTTTCCCAGATAGCAGAAAGAGTTTGCTTGCATGCTTTTCGCATGTGCAAGAGATGCACAACCTGTGAAGGACAGCAGTAACGACCATCCAACTCCATTAGAACAGTTTCACCAGTTCACCTCTGGCAGACACATATACAACAACCACCTTGTAATCTTTTAATCTTCCTTGTTTCCATTTCCATTCCTTCCTGTATTTTCCTTTTATAATATTCAATTGCTTATTAATTTGAGTTCCTTATTAGGTCCATTTACTGTCTAAAGCAAGTGACATTTTACTTTGTTAGCCTGAATGAGATGTTCTGTTTGTAA